CGATTTGTGACCTTCGCACCTGATGGCACTCAACTGGTATCATGCAGTTACTGTGAAGTGTATCTGTGGTCGATCGAGAATTTAGATCTGAATCCATGCATTCTAGTTGGACATACTAATAAGGTTCAGTTTGTGACCTTCTCACCCGATGGCACCCAACTGGCATCGTGTGGCGATGACGAGACGGTGCGTCTGTGGTCTATGGTATCTGGTAACTGCGTAGCTATTATATACTTTCCCAATGCGATTTATATTCTTGATTGGAAAAATACAAAAGCAGCTGAACTTTTATTAACGGGTGATGATAAAGTTATTAGTTTGTGGCATGTAAAAAGAATAGATGATCAAACGTCGCAAGTCGCTTTGTATTGGACTTCACGTCAAAATATGTTATGGATTTCTAAAGCATATATTCAAGACGTGAAAGGATTAGATCCAATGAATATACGGCTTTTAAAGCAAAGAGGTGCCACTGAAGACTCGAAAGTTTAACGAAAACGACCAAGCTTAAGTCGAAATTATTAACAGTCATATTGTGATACTCTAACTAGCGCTTTATTTGTATTTTTAAATTTATTACAAATAAAAAAATATTTACAATTATATTACATAAACCCATCACTTAATCATAATAATATAAATGTATCGTAACTACGTCACGAGCTCGAACAAGTAATCACGCAATTTTTACGATCATTTTAGTTATAAAGCGCACATGACCACGTCCAGTACAGTAGAGCTTGGATCCGGATATATAATTAGATATCTTTAGAAGTATTGTTTTTAATCCAGATTTAATCTGAGCATATAATTAAATATACTGTTTTAAATCCGTTTATAAAATAGTTAATCCAGATATATAACTATATCCTATTAAATATCTGGTTTTAAATCTATGAATATAATTTAAATCCGAATATACTGTATAACCAAATTTTTAAATTCAAATATATAATTAAAATTTTAAATCTATTATTTTTTATATTTTAAATAAAACTTTTATAAAGTAAAATTAAGATTTATATAAAAAATATTATTAGTTTATAATTTTATAAATAAATTATTAATATATGAATGTAATAAAAATTTGTATTAGGAGTTACAGTATATTGTAAGGGGTAAGCTGAGACACGACGCACGTCACGTGACTAATCGTCGCAAAGGGTACCGCGAGGAACCTGTTCCAGTGCACGATTATCTAATGTGGAGAAAAGAAAGAAGTGATTGTGAAAAGGGGACTTATGTAATAGGACTTAGCTTACCTATTGTTATTAAAGTATAGCCGCACTAGCCTCTGTAAATAGAAAGAGATGTATAAAAAGAAAGAGACAAGCATTAATAAAAAAAATCAAGACCCGTTATGACAATAAATTACTCGACCAAATCAGAACACGCCTCCTTCACCTTAAGTACTACTCACCCTATCCGCGGTTACGCGAAATCTCGTCGTCCTGAGCGACTGACTCGCCGTTACACCCCACAATATATTAAAATATTATTTATAATTTCGCTAATAACAAAATTATTTAATAATATTTTTAATTAAACTTTTTATTCATACTTTCAGGAGTGTAAATATTATTGCGTGAAGTAGAATAGCATTTGTTTTAATAAAGCATGAGAGATACAGGAGTGTTTCAAGACTAAACACTAAAATCTCGAATATGAACTGACTCTAAAAACTACATAAACTATCTTATTTATTGTCGTGGGCTCTCCGGCAAGCCCACACTACTGATAGTCGCTTTAAGGTTCCACAATAAGGTAAGTTTCTCTTCTAATTCTTGAGGCGTGTTTCCGATTTGGCCGTTCTCTCACTTTAACTTCTATACCAACTAACCTAGAACCCTTCCAGTGCCAATTCCCTTAGGCAACCCTCTGTTCTCTCTTGTAGTCGCGTAGCCCAAGTTACAAGTCTATTTCGGCACACTAAACACAATATAAGAGTTTATCTTTAAACGTTACTTTATTGTTTATTACTTAAACGCTAGTCTCTAAACTAAACTTCCTCCTTCGCCTACATGCTATTGAATGGCGCATGTATTTATACATTCGCCTGTTATTTACATGTTTACATCTGATCGCTATTTTACACTACTCTAGAAATTTCCACCACTAACTTTCCCACACCAATTTTCCCACCTTAATTTTCCCATAGATCACGACAACAAAATGACGTAACATGATATCGTGTTGCATGCCTGTGTCGATTTTACCCATGACATTATATACCTTGTTGACGCGTCTCTATCCACCATCATCGACATTATTGTTACGCGACGCGCCTCAATTTCGCGTTCCCATCCCTATTGTTCTCACAACGGTATGAAGAATCATTTATATTCGTACTTTGTTGCCGTGCTAGATCAATCATGTCCCAATCTTCCGCATCTAGTGTTTGTTGCGGAAAATAATAGTGTCGTGGGCAAAAAGGGGATTTCGGTAACGCGATGTGTCACGTTACGTAATTAGTGTTGTTGTGAAGGAACGGTGGGAAATTAAGTGTGGGAGAATTTAAAAGTAAAATTTCTAGAATAGCGTAGAACAGGGATCAGATGTAAACATATAAAAAATAGGCGCATGTATAAATACATGCGCAATTCAGTAGCATGTAGACGGATCTTTGGGGATTCGAGTTAGTTAAGAATAAACTAGCATTTAACATTAAAGTAAAGTCGTAAATAAACACTTACCTTGTTTTCTTGTGTGCCCGAAATACTTGTAACTCGTGCTACGCGACTAAGCGGGAGAACCGAAGTTTGCCTAAGGGAATTGGCATAGGAAGGATTATATTAGTCGATAGAGATGTTAAAGTAAGACCGGCCAAATCGAAGACACACCTCAAGAGTGAAAGGAGAAGCCTACCATATTGTTAACCGAACGAAGCAAGAAGCAACGTGGGTTAGCGACCGACTCGCCGATTAGCCCACGACAATAGTTTGAAGATGAGACAATAGGTGACTCTGCTAACATTTCATTTGAACCGAATGCTACGCCTGTATGCAAATGATCTTCTTCTAAATCACCGACTAGCTGTTGAACTTTAGAATGTGCATGAGTTATATGTTGTTGGAATTGCGGATGGTGTTGAGGAAATAGCGAAGGTGCAGGGGTGAGAGAGGGTTTATATAAATGAGATGCATTCTGGGATAAAGTGGTCACGTAAGTTAGCTATTCCGCAGGCGTAGGATGTAATTGCTGAAGTGAAGGGGAGATCACATTTGTTGACGAATGTATGGGTATCTGAGTGTGAAAAATTGGACTTTCTTAATTTTATAACTGGATATTTTTATGCAACTTGAAAGCTTAGTGATGTTAATAGCTGCCTTTCTGCATATGTCACGAGAATCTGTATCTGGGAATTGATTGAAATCTATGTAAGGTCTGTGAAGAGATATAACTACCGCGTAATAAATTTGATTCATATAAAGATTTGGATCACCAACGGCAGTAGGGTTGCACAGTACTGTAAATGTGAAGATAAGGCCAATGACCAAGCGCGCAATGCATTCTCAATAGCTAGTAGAGTGTTACGAAATGATCCCAGATGTGAAAAGCAGGGCTGTTCCTGTAAAATATTTCATTAACTTCGAATATTGTAGTCGTAGACAGGTAGGGGTTTCCTAATATCCAGGAGAAATAATGTCTCAGAGATTGTGTGTGATTGGGCGAGTGGAACATACCCGAGGAAGCACAGACGAGGGTTTCAGCATTCATGACGCTCCAAAATACTCTCACTCTCATCGCCTTTTCTAATTCGCTAATATTCCATTTTGAACAGTCACTATTTAATTCCAGGTCCATAGACATTCCAATAAGTGTCCAAATTTGACAAGAATCGGTAAAGATAATATTAGCAATGTTAGTTGAATTTGTCTTGGAAGACGTATGAACTTACCGATTTAACATAAATTGAGCCAATAAAATAAAGATCCGAATCGAATAATTTCGAATCTGCACACTCAAAAATCATTTGATTATATAGTATTTAATACAAGTATAATTAATGGCCAATAATATCGCATATACCAATCGCGCGATCAAAAAACTATATCGCCAGCAGAATCCGGTTCATCCTCTGACCTAAGCACCCGCTTATCATCGGTATATACGTAGCAAGCCTTAGCCATCAGGCTATACAACAAAAGAAGAGACGATGTTTTTTTTGTCTTTAAGCTGTTTAATGAATGCTGGAATGTGTATTGTAACACAGAAAAGAGTGGTGCGACTTATACTGAATTCCGGGTTTCTCCACGATATTGGGAAGAAAGACTGCAGTAGCAAGTACAATGAGTGCGATAGAAACAAGCACGAGCTTGGAAAAAGGGAGAAGAAAGAAGAATCGCGACACAATCGCAATAGCTCCACGTGACTGGGTTATGCGAGGATCGAACATGGCACTATGAGGCCAATTAATGGGATTATGTAATAGAAGTAGTGTGAAAATCAAATAACAAATGTTTCGTCATAAGATTTTTCATAGTTTTACTTAATTTGTAATTATCATTTTTATTATGTAATGAAGTTGTAAAAATGTATAAAAGAAAAGAGAGCATTAAATAAAGAAAAGCCAAGTTATCATCTCTCGGCCATAATCAATTCCGCCTCACCGTAAACATTTACTATCGTTACGCGAATTTAACTTCCCATTAGCGACAGACTCGCCGATCACCGTTACAATATAAAAAATCCGGAAATCGTAAGTCTTATAAACTTCAATTCCCAAGCGTTATAGTTTGCTTCTTGATTTTATAACTTTGTATTCATCCTTCGTCAGAAATTTTTCTAAAATTGTCTGATTTTAGATAATTAATACCATGATAATGTTCTTTTTTTATCACACCTATTGCCAGTGTTCATAGTGTTGTGGGGACAATAGGGATGGGAACGCGACATTGAGGCGTGTCGCGTAATAATAGTAACATTGATGGAATGATGTAATAATTGATAATAGCATTTAATGGGATGGACGCTTCAACTTTTGCCGTTAAAATTGACATTTAACGAGGAGAATGTATTTCCTCTTTTACGAACAACCCTCTTTGGTGATTATTCGCTACCTTATGGTAACCAGATGGCAGTTGTCGATGTGGATAACGGTATCGTGATATTTGAATTAATGATGTTACTATTGACCATTGAATTTGCACGGCTTCTGCTTGCTGATATTATGTCACCAATAATCATTCTTCGATCTTTCACCAAGGAATTAGACTCTGCATTTCTTGGCTTGCTTACGATTCCAACATTAAGAGGTTTGAAGGGTGAGGATGATAAAGACACATCATTGGGATAAGATGAAATGGGCTCACTGAGTGAGATCTCAGCGAGACTGAATTTGATTAAGGCGGTGAATAAGACATGTTTTGATTGATCGGAGGAGTGGATACAGATCCATTACCACCGGCTAATGGTGTTGGTGATACGGAATTTACAATGTCTTTATCATCCGATTTGTTAGTAATATTTAAACTTTTCTTATTTCCAACCTTAACACTTTGATCACTACTGCTACTGCTATTTCTTGGTGTTTTACTTTCTCTGCTAAGAGTAGTATCTTTCCTCTTTATTTTCTCACTCGGTGAATCCAAAGACTTGCCTGTTTCTGTTTTCTTTTCGTTGAATTTCGATTCAGTTTCTTCTACCTTTTTCCACTTTCTCCAACAAAGAGGACAGTTTTATGTAGTTGGTGAGGGGGATAAAGTTTAGCTTGGAGCTTTGAGTTTAGAGTTTGAGGACGCTCTTTACTTTTGTCCACTTTATTAAATAAATGCTACAACTTTACAAAATCAATTTACATTCTTTAAGTATAAACTAAGTCTACGCCACTACAGTAAACGATTTTAAGAGTGAGAGAGACATGACGTTACCTTTGTGCACCATGAATAGTGACAATTTTAATCTTGAAACGCGCCTAGGAAAAGATGGTCAAGAAGAGATTAGCAAGTGCGCGAAAGTCGGTCAAATGTAATCCACCTCGAAGTTAAAGCCTTACCTTATTTAGTGCCAAAATCCAAGCATTCGATTATCGTCACGCGAAGAGTGAGCCGTTTTAGCGACAGGCTCGCCGGTGACGAAAACAATAGCTATTCCTATATGATACAATTTTATGTGATAATATTTGTAATTTGCGAACATAAGCTTGCCCACACATTACTTATAATATGATTTCTTGGGAAACTATAATGGTATTCCATATAGGCGTCACAAAAAGTGTAATCTAAATATGCAATATTGGTCAGATTAAATTATAATAAGAATGTTATATGGTTGGTCGTTAAAACTGAAGACTTGAAAAAATAGAAACTGTACCTTGCAAAATTACCATGTTTAACACATGGCTAAACAACATAAGGAACTACAAGACAAGACATTAAAATATTTACAAAGTTAAAAAAAGAATTTGCATATCTAAAATTTTAAGCTATATTATATTGAAACAATATTGGTTCTGCGAGACTTTAATTTAGACCGGCGATTTCACAAATTACGCGAATTTCGCCTATGTGATAGATCTATAATAAAGTCATGCGTAACCAATAAATTACATTTGTACAGGTATTCTCGTGACCCGGAAATTCCACACGAAAATAATACAAATGCTGCTGTATGTATGCTGCACAAACCTGTAAAAATATTATACGGAGAAACAGCCACCCTGTCACTTAATTTTGGTAATAAATCTCTGCTGGGATCGACTAATAAAATTATGTAATAAGAATAATGTGAAAATCAAACAACAATTGCTTCGTCATGAGAATTTTTGTAATTTTTGCTTAATTTGTATTTATCATTTTTATTATGTAATAAGTGTGCAAGAATATATAAAAGAAAGAAGAAATTGAATAAAGAAAAAATAATCAAGTCCAGTTAGAAAAGTCTTTTTGGCCACAATCATTTCCGCCTCACCCATAAACAAAACACCATCGTTACACGAAACTAAGTTTCAATTAGCGACAGACTCGCCGATCACCGTTACAACGCATAAATGCCCATTACATTCCATTATCGATTATTACATTATTCCACCATCACCAGCACTATTGTTATGAGACGTGCCACAATGTCGCATTCTCGTTTCTATTGTTCCCATAACGATGTATAAACAAACATGTTATGAAGTATGACTCAAAAATGAGAACAAAAGGGGAATAGTCGAAAAGACTTTTTACTTAAAAAGTCATGTAAATAGAATTATTTGGCGTCCAAAAAATGCTTTTGAGAAAGGGGGCCGTAGAGAGGAGGTCAATCAGGTTTAAGAAACGCCAACACCATCTCCATCGTCGATACACCATAGGAACCTGTGAATAACGGTGGCGACAGAATGGCGCCAATTTCTTATCCAGCTATAAAATTAAAAAAGCCTCCAATTTTTTACACTCAGATACCCATACAATTGTCAACAAATGTGATTTCCCCTTCACTTTAGCAATTACACCCTACGCCCGCGGAACAGCTAACTTACGTGACCACTTTAGCCCAGTATGCATCTCAGTTATATAACCCGCTTTCACCCTGCACCTTCGCCATTTCCTCAACACTATCCGACATTCACACAACATCAAACCTATGTACAGTATATTCTAAAGTTCAACAGCTAGTCGGTGATTTATAAGACCATTTATATATAGACGTAGAAATGGAATGTTAGCAGAGTTACCTATTGTTCCATTTTCAAATCATTATTTTCCGCAACAAACCCTAGATGTGGAATATTGGGTTTGATTGATCTAGCATAGCAACAAAGTACAGATATAAATAACTCTTCATTCAATAATATTTATTTGTTCCAAAGAAATCAAATATACAGATTTAAAAATTTGATTATATATTCAGATTTATATTCAAATTTAAATTATATATACTGTATATTATTTAAAACATTTAATAGGATATCTGGTTATATATCTGGATTTGGCTATTTTATAAATGGATTTAAAACAGTATATAAAGTAAAAATATATTTCAGTTTAAATTAAATCATATTGATATACTGTAAATTTAAGCTTAACTATCTGTGCTTGCACTTATACTTCTAAATGATGTAAATAGTATAATGTATAGTATAATATAAAAATTTTTTTAATTATCTAATGGAGGATGAATACTATCTAAAATATTAAAAAAATTTTTAAAAAACATTATTCTTCTAAAAAATTCTGGACTAATGTATTCTTTTAGAATCTATTAGATTTCCACAATCGGAAAATAATTTTTCACTAGGAGTTGATGTAGCTAAAACTGAGAGTGGTGTTGTAAATAGTAGTAAAGTCGAATATATAAGAGAAGTAGCATATTATAGTAAAAACAAAAAAGCATATAATAAACAACTATGTATAATAAAATATACCATCATTATAATACTTCGTATATTATATAATTTTTACTTTATATTTAAAAATAATATATGCGGAGATTTTTAAAAGAAATTTTTATATATTTTAATAATTTTTTATAATTATATTAAAAGAAATATCTCTTTACATTAAAAACTAATTTCAAATTTCAAATACATATTAATATTTTTTATTTAAGACCTAATTCATGTTCCTTAATAGTATTAGCTATTTGTAATTCTCTTAATTTTTCTTTTCGTTCTGCAATTATCAGTATATATTCTTCATACTCCAATTTTTCCATTAATGTCATGTGTTTTCTTTTTCTATATTTGTTAAATTAGCTTTTGATAACTTGCATGGTTTTTTATTACTTGTCTGCATTATTAATTATTGGCATTTTTTGGATTAGCAGTTTTAGAAGATCGTTTAACTATTAAATATATTTATAATTAATATTGAATAAATAAATTATTATAAAAATTATTTAATAAAAAATACTAACCACTTCATTTAATTGCTAATTTTTTACGTGCAATTTCACTTTTGTCATAATCATTAAGATTTATATTAAAAAATTTTTTTATTTTAATTCTTTTAAAATTGTGCATGTCTAATTTTTGCTCTTTAAATATGATAAATAAATTAAATTAAATAAAACAAAAAATTATTAAACAAATTTATAAAAAATAAATAAATAAATAACCTTGAAATAGCTGTTATTAATTTTAGTTTTTTTCTTTTTTTATTACTCATAGCATATGCTGCTTCTGCACTATTTGTATTATTGGGTGTGGCATGCCAAGAATTATATGAAATTTTTGACATATATGGATTTAATGATGCAGTAGCATAAGGATTTTGATAATATTGAACTCAATCTAATTAATATAATAGATTAGATTTTATTTTTAAAGAATTAATTATATTATAAATATATAAGGTATTTACCTGTAAAATTATTATCAATTTCTAATAATTTATTAAAAATAAATTCAATTTTTTTAGCCAGCACCATTAATAAAAATTCCATATAATTTTTAATAATATTATTAAATCATTTTTCATGTAACTTTCTATTTTATAAATATATTATTATTAGTAATTAAATTAATAAAAATAATTATTATTATTTCTTACTATTTATAATGAACTTGACAAGATTTAACTATATGTATTAAATGTTCCTCCCAATTATAAGTATTATCTATTGAAACTAATGTTTTAACTAATCCAATAGCCAATGCCATATCAAGATTACCAATTATACAATTCCATTCTTCTTCATTAATATGTTTAAATTTTGATATTCTCCAGTAAATAATTTAATAATATTAAAAAGTGATTCAAATATTTGTTGATATACACTTGCTATTGCTTGATTTATAAAAACTTATGCAAATATTAAAACTAATAAAATAATTTATATTAATATTTAATAATTATATATATTAAATTAATAAAATAATTACTTAAATGTATTAAAATTTTTGTTATAATAATTGATTTCAAACTTATTGATTTATTTAGAAATTCTTTTAAAATATAAATCAATTTCAAAATAAATTTATTTAATCCATTTTTCTATTTGTACTTGAGTAGTACAAACAATCATTATATACCCATCATTAAAAAAATCTTATTTAAAATAATAAATAAAATTGTATAAAACAAGATTATTGAATATATTCTTGAATACTATCAATATTTCATGAAAAATAATAAATAACATCTAATAAATCTTGTTCAAATAAATGTTTTTTTTTTATAATTTATTAGTATTATATAGAGATATATAAACTTCATATAGATTATCATCAAAGTAAATTTTAATTATGCTTCTTATATTAAATAAATTTTAAATAAATTAATTATTATTAACTTTATAATTTAAAAATATAATTACTATTATAATATAAGTAGAAGTAACATCCAATAAATCTTTATTGGCTTGTTTAATAAGAGTTTGAAATCTTTGTTTAATGATAATAAGTGTTTATATAAAAGGTGATGGTGGATATATTGTTGGGGATTATAACGGCGAGTCTGTCGCTACATCGCGATCGCCGATTGTGTAACATCGAAAGAGGCGTGGAGATGTGGCACGAGGTAAGTGAAAGTGTTAGATAATAGTCTGAGTTTTATAGTAAAAGGATGGTATTTTATTGTTGCTTTTTCTCTAGTACATTTCTCTCTTTATATATATGTTAAGAAATCCCCAAAATCCCTAAAATCCCTAAAATCCCAAAAATCCCTCAAGCCCCAATTAAACCCCAATTGGGTGAAGATGACATATGTTAAATCTATCTAATTTTTCGGTCCCTCTTATACTAATAATAATTTGGTTTACTAAAATTTTTTTTTAAAAAATCTATTATAATTTGTTAATATTTTTTTATTTGTAAATTAAGCTATATATATTTTTATTCTGAATGAAAACTTAATTTATAATCTTTTATTCTGTAGTATCTTAGTTTAATTTTGCTATTATCAAGTTTATAATATAAATATTATTTTTTTCAAAAAATATTAATACTGTATATCAAGAATTGAATTTTAAAAGTTTCTTATATAATATGATCTAAACTTTTTTAGCATTTAGTTTTCTTGATTTTAATAATACAAATTTGAAAAAAAAATTAAATTAAATTAAACAAATATTCTAACAAAAATTAATTATTACATTAAAAATTTATATTTAAAAATTGAAAATCTTTTGATTTGTTTAAAAGTAAATTAATACCTATTTATATATTGGTTTATTTTGTTTGTTATTTTAATACTTTTGATAATAATAAAGATACGTAAATGATATAATTTATAATGTATTACATAATATATGAATTTTTGTTTACATTTTTAATAATTTTAAATTAACTAATTATAATTTTTAATTAATTATGTCATTTAAAAACTTGATATAATAAAAAATTTAGAATTAAATTAAAATAAACAAAATTTTTCAAAAAATTTGTTGAAAAATATACTTGTAATTATAATAATTAAATATAAATAAAATATAAATATAAAATAATTGTCATATTTAAAAACAATAAAGTAAAATAATTTAATTACTTAAAAATATATAGATTATAAAAAACACTTCTTTAAAAAAGTAATTAAAAAATCCATAAAAAAAATAGTATTCAAATAAAATAAAGATTAATTATGTTCAAAGTGCAAGTTTCATACTGAAGATATTCAATATGTCTTCAAATGCACTAAGGCTTTACTAGTAGCTGACCAAATAATTAAGACTATTAATTAAGTTTTCCATTTGAATAACAGTTACAAACTTATTTCATATATAAAGCAAGTCATTGAACTGTTATATAAAATAACAAATAAAATATTTTTTTTTAATTACTGCCAACTGGATCAAAGTAACAATAGAATTTCTAATTTAACTATATAACATGATCTGAAAACTACATTGTTTTATAGCTAACTCTTCACCTCTCACTAGAATTAAATGAAATTATATCAAATTCTTCAATTTATTTATATCTTCCAAACTAAAAAATAAGAATACTTCACAAGTTAAAAATATTCAATATTAATTTATAAGAAACATTATTATTAATTTGTCTTCTATTGTTACTAATATATTTATTTAATCTGAATATAACTATTCTAAATATATTTATAGTCTAATATTTTCATCTTTTAATTATAACTATAATTTTTTTAATACTAAATAGGTATTCATAATTACTTAATACTATTTGATAAGATATATTATTTTAAATTTTCTTTTCAATATTAGTTATATGGTTATTGTAGACAAGCTAGTATTTAACTCAGTATAGCAATATATAAGAGATGTTGTTTCTTTTACAATGTACTATATATCTTGTTATATATAAATCAAATAAAGAAATAATGTTTACTTACAAAAAAAATAAAATAAAAAACAATTTAATATTAATTATATTTTATAAAATATTAATTTAATTTATAATAGTTTTATAAAATTTTTATATTTTATTAATAAATATTGATTCTTTTATAATAATTATTTACTTATTATAATATTATTATATTTATAAATTAAAAAATAATAAAAAATTAAAAATTAAAAATACAATATTTAATATATAATTTTTGTTTTTATTTTAATTGAAAATTTAGAAAATAATATTAACATTTTGAAAATAATAATCAATTTGGTTTTTTTTATTAAATAATATTTTACAAAATCAACTTTATATATAAAAATAAATAAAAAATAAATAAAGATTATAAATAAAAAAATAAGATATTTTTAATTCAAATATTTTAAATTAACAAATGTTTTTTGAAAATTTTTTTTTAAAAAAACCTATAATGCAAGTTTGTTTATTATACTTTTTATTAAATAAAATATTCTAAAGACTGTGTTTATTTTTTTTTTTTAATCCTGCAATTAGGTTGATGTTATTTATTTATTAAATCATAGAGAACTATTACATGCACGAGAATACATGCAAAGTACAAATTTCCCTGACTCAACTTACCTGTCTTTAGCCGAAGTCTCTAGATGCGATTTATGGGGGTAATGTATTGTTCTCCTAAAGGAT